AGGAATTTCAGTATCGGGGCGTAAGGCGGTCCTTCAGTCGTTTATGTTTTAACAGGAAGTACAAAAGGGGGGTCCTCCCACTGGTGGTAGTCCTCCAAGACGTTGTCTTCCAGGAGTATCTGCATGAAAAGCAGCACCCTGCGCAAGGTCCAAGCATAGTTAGTTCTGAACCTCTCAGTGGAGAGGTTCATAAGCTCGTGATGTGTGAACCATGTGAATTATGAGTGGGCTTTGCTCGAGCCATCATGGTGTTCCATTAGCAGAATGACCAGGACAACGCCTTTAGGGAAGGACAGCGTGTTTGGGAGGACCACTCCTTTCACTCCGCCGGTGTCAGTCTCCTTGATCCAATATTTGAGTCTCTTAAGGATGACTGGCATGGACGGATTCCCTCTCCATCCTTCCACAGTCAGTCCCCTCCGGCTCGTAGGCTCCTTCGGGTGGTTGAGTGGCGGTCTGAGTCCAAGTAACCACTGCCCGCCAACTGATGTTCTTCGCAGCGGGAGGAGGGCCACCCCTGGCGGCATGGCCAGCGAAACGCTGTCATCATCTTGGAGTCTAACGAGGGTGCTCAACTTTTTTGGCTGTTCCAGTGCAAGGGCATCCTCATCAGACTCAGCCTCACGTAGTTGTGTCAGGTCATCGTCATCCTGCAGGATGTCCGAATGTTTAAGGTGAAGCGGGATAGTGTGATGAGGGGCCTGTTGCTGAGGGGGCTGTTCTTGATCTTCCCTATGGACAATTAGCATCTGATCTCGGGGTTGGTCAGGAGGGGTGATCTGCCCCACTGTCAGCTGTTGTTGTTGTATTGGCCCTTCTGGACTGGCCAGACTGCTCTGCGCCAACTGGGACCCATAGAGTGTGTTGCATAGTTCCAGCACGAGAGTTCTAGGCTATGCCAAACCCTCGTGCAGGAACGCCTCCTCCTGCAGGTGCTGGTCGTGAGACTGTCCGGACCGGTCCATAGGTGTAGCCCGTTCTTGTGCGAACTGTTCTATCTTGTCCAAGAACTCGTTGATGACAAAGACAATAGCAGCCCCCACATCCATCCAGTCGACTGCAGATGCATCTTTATATTTTTGGACAGTTGCTAAAATTCTGGGGCTGTGCATGAGGACATCTTTTGCCTGCTCCCAGTGTCCAGTGTTCAGTTTCTCAGCTGGTCTGTCATCTGTCAGCGAGAAAATTTTCATCAGGGTCCAGTCTGTCAAAAAGCAGAGCTTTCGTTTGACCTCATCGTTGGCATAAAGGGACGCGGTGTCCGAGGCTGGTTCCGCTTCCATGTCAACATCAATGGGTGGGACCTGGTCCACGGAGGGTTTATCTTCAGCAGGGCCCGAAGTGTCCATGTCCTGGGGTTCCTGTCCCATCATTTGGGCGCCCATCGGGTCGGTGTCCCGCAACAGCAGTTGAGTGCTCGGCATGCCTAACATGTGAGGTTGCTGGTGTTGGCAGTGTAGGCGGTTCTGCTTCTCCACCTCCTGTTGCTGGTAGGCATGCAGCTGCTGCTGCTGTTGTTGGAGTAGCTGTTCTTGCTGGCAGCACAGCTGCTGCTGCCATTGTAGGTGGAGATGGTGCTGTTGCAGTAATGCCGCTTGCTGTTGTTGCTGGTGGTGTTGCTCCAGCTGCGCCTGTAACAGAAGTCGAAGGTGCTCCTGGAGGCAYGCCTGGTACATCTCGTTTTGGTCATGCCTTTGTTGTGCCTGGCATTGCCCTTGTTGCAGCATCTATAGTTGCATGTGATCCTGGTGCTTCTGCTGGTGCTGTTGTTGGATGTGCTGGCGGCTCATCAACGCTTGCTTCTGTTGTTCTTGCAGTTGGTGTTGTTGTTGTTGTTGTTGTTGCATTCTCTGGTGGTTGTCGCGGTCCTGCTGCATCTGCATTTGGTTGAGCTGATCTTGCTGGTTTTGCTGACAGAGCACCTGGTGGCGCTGCTGTTCTTGCTGAACTCGCTGCTGTTGGAGCTCTAGGTGCAGTTGCTTTTCTGCGTGCTCTTCTTGTTGGCGGAGCAGGGTGATCTGTCTTTGGTCCTGTTCTAGTTGCAGCTGTTTCAGGTCCTGTTGCGTCTTTTGTTGTGCCAGTTTTTCCTGTTGGTGGATCAACTGCAAGCGTTGTTGCTCCTGGAGAGTTCGCTTGTGGTGCAGTTCCATTTGTATGTGGGGCCGGGCCAACGGATGTCCCCTGGGAGCATCCCGTTCGTGGTTCTGCCTTTGCTCGTGGTGGGCAAGCTCCAGGGGTTGTCCAGGTCGGTCCATGGCACACCCCTGCCCTCCCGCCCCCGTTTGTTGGGGCAGGTGATGACGCTGTTGCACAGTTCCTCCCGGGTCACCCGGTTGTCCAGGTCGGTCCTTGGCATATCCCTGTCCATCAACCCCTATCTGATGAGGGAGGTGACGACTTTGCTGTTCATCCCCTCCCGAACCATCTTGTTGTCTGTGTGGGCCTTGCTGTGGATGAGGAATTACCTCCTGGCAACAGCTGTCATTCTGTGCCATATCGTTGGCTTTCGGTGGTCCGTTTGTCGGGGCTTCAGGGGACGACGGTTCCTGGAGCAAGGGAAAGGCGACCCCTTTGATTTTATTAAGAAGTGAGTTAGCTTTCACCCACATTCCTTGCGGCGTCAGCGTTTTGTTGTGTTGCCGTGGCACCGAACTCCTTGCGGCGTCAGCGTTTTGTTGTGTTGCCGTGGCACCGAAGGCACTAGCTGTGGTGGGTTTTGACAAGAGTGTTGAAGCCCACCAGTGTGTTGTTGCATCTCCAGGTGCGGTGGGTTGTGACACGATTGTTGAAGCCCATCAGTGTGTTGCTGCACCTCCAGCTGCGGCGGGTTGTGGCAAGACTGTTGAGGCCCACCAGTGTGCTGCTGCACCTCCAGCTGTGGTGAGTTGTGAGAGGATTGTTGAAGCCCATCAGCGTGCCGCTGCACCTCCAGCTCCAGTACCATCTCGATCTGCGGCGGAGGGAGATCGTCAGGCACTCGCCTTCGTTGCTGCGTCACCAACTGCACCCCATCAACGGCCTCCCCAGGTTGGGCGGCCCTGACCTCAGCATTTTGTATCTGCAGGTGTTGGGGCGCGGGCAGTCCTTGGTGGTTGATCAAGTCCCCCATTGTCCCGGTCAGAGGGGGGGGGGGGGTCTGTTTTCTTATTGAGTTGCAGCTGGAGGTCACTGGCGCCGGTCACACCAGGTGGGGGCAATGGCAGAGGTGCTGATGCACTTGTCTGCTGTGGTTTACATACCGGGCTTGGGAGCGGGATTTTCTCAGCCACTGTTAAGTTTTTGGCTATGCCCTGTGGCGGTTTACCTTTGGCCACCTGCGGACCTACATCATCAGTCTTGACTGTGGCCCTCCCGCTCCCCTCTCCCTCTTTTATCTTGGTATCCATTTCCACGGGCAGAGGGGGGGGCTTTTCCTTCCTCCCAGTCTTCGATTTGTACACATCGGGGGGGGGATGCAGTGCCGGGGCCGGTAGTGGCAGAGGTGCTGATGCAAGGCTCGGTGTTGATGGTGTCTGCTGTGGTTTACATGCCGGCCTTGGGAGCGGGATTTTCTCTGCCACTGTGAAGTCTCTTGCCCTGTAGCGGTTTACCTTTGGCCACCTGCGATGTGACCCAGAGAGGACGATTCTCAGACCTTTCTCAGATCCCTCAGAACTTTTCAGCTTTCTTATCAGATATTCAGATCTTAGACACTCCTTCAGACATTCTCAAAGGAAAGTGCGGTAGTGTGACCAGGAAGGTGGGCCGGGGAACAAACAGGGACCACTAGTGCCCCCCAGTAGCCCTGATGGGCCCCAGCCCTGGGTCTTGGCTTGGAAAGTACAGGATAGTTAGCGAAGGGACGCTGGACCCGGTTTCCAGCATGCTATCTCATGATTCCTCATGATCCTTTTCTCTCAAAAATGTAAGGGGCGCTCGACCTGGTTTCCAGCAGGTGCTGCTCCCCACTAATAGAATGGAGCCTGCATCGGGGTGCTAGAGGTGGCTGATTATATCAGCACCTCTAGCATCACCAGGGGTGTGAAAAAAAAAAAAAAAAAAAAGTTTACAACCCAGCTTTCTGCCCAGGTCGGGTGCCCGAAATGCAATTGCAAACTGTATCTTGCCCCGTAGTGCACTTATAACTTGTGTTTTCGAGCTTCGATTGGCATTTGGAACTCGGAGAAGCACTTTTATGGAGTTTTATCACAACCTGGGTTTTTTAAATGCCGAAAGAACTCAAACCAGCAAAGGAGTGTCGCGAGGAGTTCTAAATGCAGTTTTGTCAACCCCACGTTGCAGGACCTGGCCCAGGCCCCTGGTCCACACCACAGAGGCGGCCTACTAGACCCAAGGGGGTTAAGTGGGGGGGCGTATATAATTCAGAGTACCCCAGCTTTGGCTCTTTACAATTTCGATTTCTGGCAGCGAAAAAATCCAAAGAAAACAGGGTTATTAGTTAGGTCCCTCCTCATCTGGGGGAAAAAAAAAATGGTTTGGCCCATGAAAAAATATTTGCACCAAACTAAACATGAAACGGTTTTCACCTCCGCAGTAGCGGATGCAGATCCCAGGGCTCGATCCCGACCTCACTCACCTGTGTACATTACCCCTGTGTGTTTGAACCCGTGACCTGCGTCTTAGGAGTCTGCTGTTGTCCGTCGTAGGCCAGTGTAGTCATCGGGTCTTGAACTGTAGTCCTGTCGAGTAGGGGTCAAGGTTGTAGCAAAGGTCGTAGCTGTAGTAGTTCTAACGGGTCAAGGTCGTAGCTGCTACAGTCCTGAAAGGTCAAGGTCGTAGTAGCTACAGTGTTCGAAAGGCCAAGCCCACAGACTTCCGGAAGGTGGCCTCTCGAAGTTGTCTCACGTTTGGACAGAGGCAAGTGGGCAAGTGGTGAGCCCAACTGCGTTACGTCGACAGTGCAAACCCATGCAGTCAGCGGTACCAGTCCCAGTCAGTCACAGTCCAGTCAAGCAAGTACTGTGTGGGACTGTGTGCACCAAGGGCATGGGAAAGGGGCAGACTAACGAGTTACAAGAGTATAAATCAAGAGGCAGCACCCAGCCATTCATTGATTCCTGCGTAAGCCATGCGGAAGCGCTCCCTGAGCGACTTGTGCGAGGTGGTCTGTAGAGCGCCCGAAGACGAAGTGGGCTGAAGGAGATAGTTACCCATAGCTAGTGGGGGACAACGGTCATAGCCGCCATCGCTGTTAGGCGAGTGTGTTAGTAGTAGTGTGTGTGTGTGTGTGTGTGTATGTGTGTGGGATATCCAGGGTGATCCAGAGTTGAGCGATTGCAAAAAGTGGTGTCGGACAGAAAGATGAGAGTTAAGTTGTACAGGCACTAATGCGCCATAGCCTGTTGAAGCGAGCTTGCATCTGAACTGTGTTTTCGACTTCCATATCTTTGAGCTTTGAGTGGGCGCTGTGCGCCAGTGTGGTTCACCATCCGTTTGCATGAGTGCGAACTGGAAAAGAAAGCGAGTCTGATTGCATTGGTATTGGAGCAGGTACCCACTAATCACGCGCCGTCGTTGCCGCGGTATGCTGAAGTTGGGCGCCATAGCCGAAGTGCGCCATAGTTGAAGTTCGCCATCACTAAAGAAGAAGTCCGCCATAGCTGCGCTGGTGGAGGAAGGTGCCGCCTACCTGCAAAGAACACAAGGACGAAGAGAGAGAGAGAGAGAGAGAGAGAGAGGGGGGGGGAGAGAGAGAGAGGGGGAGAGAGAGAGAGAGAGAGAGAGAGAGAGAGAGAGAGAGAGAGAGAGAGAGAGAGAGAGAGAGAGAGAGAGAGGAGCGATACAAGATTGGTTATG